AATGCAATGTTAAGTACGAAAAATAAAACTAGACATTCTACATTTATTTAATATCAAAATAATTCTAATAGTTTAATATAAAATTAATTTGTTGAAACATCCGATGGGGTTTCAATATTATAAGGTTTTGCAGAATATAGGTCATCTATAGTTATTACGTTTTTTTTTAAAAAAAAAAAAATAAAAATAAATAAATAAAAAATGAAAAAAAAATCAATACAATCCATAGGGTATTCAGTTAATACGATGCAGTAATGAAAAAAACCGATTTACCATCATCCAAAACTTCAAATGTTTCTTCTTTTGAGATAGCATCCAAATCGATAAATTGGCTACAATGAACGTTTTCACTTTCAAATACTGTAGGTTTCTCTTCATCACTTTTTATCATTTCATCAAATTTTTTAAATTCATCATATTCATTTACCAAGAAATACCAATCTAATAAAATTTCATAAATTTCTTGAATATTTGGTCTTTTATGCGGTTCAGAATCCCAACATCTTTTCATCAAATCAATATAACATTGTGGAGTTTCATCAACATTAATTTCTGGTCTTTCACCGTTGCATATTTCTAAAGCTAAACTAGTGTTAAATGAACACCCAGAAAATGGCAACTTTCCTGAAGAAAGTGTCCACATTATAATACCAAAACTATATATATCTGATTCCTTTGTATATGGTAGAATTCTTTCTAATACCTCAGGTGCTACATAAGGAAGAACTCCAAATATTCCTTTCGATGTTGCTTCGTTTCTTGAATTTTCTGAATCCTGATCAGATAAGGTGATAAAGGGATATAATCCAAGATCTGAAATATATGCCGAACCATCTTCTCCAATCAACACATTTCCCAAGTGTAAATTATAATGAACAAACCCTGATTCATGAATTAATTTTAATCCTTTTGCGATTGAAATAAGAATTTGCAATTTATCTTCAAGCCACTTCATGTTTTTGAAGTTTCTGGAAAGATGATTTCGTAAATCACCTCCTTTGATATATTCGCTAACCAACATATATTCTTGAGTACTTGGATTTCGAGTTAGGCCGTAACATTGAATAGATCCTAATAATTCATAACGTAATTCCGTGTACGATGTGATAAGTTTGACGTATAATTCAAGCTGTTAATATAAAAAATTCCATTACATTTATTTTTTTTTTAAAAAAATGGTATTTGTTAGAGAATAAAAAAGATATAAAAAAGATATTAAAACAAATATATATATATATGTTGATATACCTCATGAAGAAACTCGGGGGTCACATTAGCAGAAGATTTTCCAAGGCTTTTAATAATCACATTTTGAGCGCCATTTCTTGCCATTCCATATAAACACATCGGTCCGTCTACCCAAGAAGCGGAGTAAACATCTCCTATAATTTTTTTAACATCTGTAAACCTATCATAATTGATCCATTCGATATGATCAAAAATATGATTAGATTCAATTTGAGTACGAAAGATAATCCTATTAATTTCTGGGTGCCCGCTGGTCCAAGGAGGAAGCATGATACCAGGCACCAGACCTAATCCGCAAGATTCACACCAACCACTATTATTGACTTTCAATTCAGAGTTTTGACAAGGACAAAATGGAGAAATTGGAATATTGGAAGCTTTGATCTTGTCAATATAATTATTTATGTATTCGAAAATTCCGTGTTCTTTTTTACGTAATTGATAAATCTGAAGTACTCTAGATAAGGTAACAGAGTTTATCATTTTATCCTGAACATCCAACACACAAATAGTGGTTGCGAGAAATAAGTAGTATCCGGAGAGATGTGATATTTGTAAAAAAAATGTTGGCATAAATAGAGATAGAATATACGCAATTTCCTTTAACAAGGCAGGAAATAAGTATAAATACAAACTTAACCCACAAATACGAATTAAAAGAGACAAAATATCATAAGGAAAAAACAATCTCGGTAAAGAGGACATGCTAGAATAAATCAAAACACTAAATACTATGATAAAAGATATCCAATAACCATATAGGATATAACAAATCGAAGTTAATAATAAGAAACATCCTGATATCGAAGATAAAATAAAATATCTATTGAGTATCAAATGAAATGACTTTAAATGGGTTTTGTCCGTTTCTAAATAAATAGCGATGATTAAACTAAAAATAAATGTATAAATGCAATAATCTATGTCAATTATTCGCCATAATAAAGTTTCAAATAATATAATTATAATAGTCTTTGGAAGATATTTATAACCATGTGAAAAAGGATATCTAAGAAACTGGAAAGCAATTTGATCCATGTCTAAATACAATCAGAATTTTATAAGTTAGAACGATAAATAAATTACGATATCGTATTAAAAAAACAATCGACCGTTCTTTTCGAAAAAAAAAATAACCCGTTTTTTTAGGGTACGTATGTACGTAAGTACAGAAAAGTTAAGTTTATAAATGAAAGTGAAAATTAAAACCAAATATACCTGAACCAAGAAAGATATTTATAGCAAGATTAATGTATTCTTAAATTACATACCGCATAACGAAAAAAAACGTCATGAGATTTGCACAATAAACAATGGTGAACAAATAGTGTAAAGCGAACGGGTAAAGTGCAGATAATCACATATTTGTTGTATCACGTCTCTTTGCTCAACCATCATTATTGTTTACTATTACAGATTAATTTTGCTAGTTTTCCAATTACATAAAACAAATGAAATATATTAAATGCCTAAATATGACAATTTCTTTTATCTCGTCATATCGCATGTCAGATTTCATATGTATGCCTCGTACTTATCGTTATGCATTTAAGACTCTTTAATACTTTACAGATATCAAGAATAGTGATACGATTGCTTTCTGAACAATAATTATTTTAACCCACGACGTATTTCCGAACCTATAACAAGTATTCGCAATCTTAGTTCAAGATGTCTTGCTTATGATTTTTTAACTTCTTTTTGGAATGATTTTGGAAGGTTCAAAATTTTTGAAATCTTGGAAAGAACGAACAGTTATAATTATTTTGATCGACTTGTACGTAACTTTCATTTCCATTTTTATTTAAATCATGAAAGTTATCGTAACAGTAAATATTTGAAAACTCAAATAAGATTTAAAGTTTTACATTTCAACTTTATTTTGTTTATCCGGTATAAGAACATATATTATGAATTCCAAGATCCCAATTATTTTCCAGATCCCAAAAGTACAAGTTTGAAATTATAGAGAAATACAAATCACGCGAGTTAATAAACATTGATTTTTATTGGTTTATTTGCGCAATAATCGGAACGACTAAACATAGTGTTAGTGGTAAGGTTGATAGGGTTATTATGCGTAAATTAAGCACAATGTGAACCATGTACGTACGTACGTACAGTACGTACGTAGTGCTGTAGTGTTTTAAGAAATTAGCATACTACCGTAGTACATTGACTAAAAGACCCGGGTCTAATACAAAATATATACCTCTAATAAATTCACAAAATACCCGTGGGTATTGTAATTAGTATCATGTGACAAATTAACCATAATGTAACACCAATGCAAGGAACGCTAGTAGTGGTAAAAATGTGTAATTTATAAAAATAGTAGCAGAGATCGAAAGTTCAAAAGGTATAAATAGTCTTAGATATTTCTCTTGTAAAAGATAGAACTCAAAGTTCCAACAACTTAACAATAAATAAAGAGTAATCGTGTCTTCATACACGAACAACTCGAATACTTTATTGAATAAATCATACAAATAACAATTCCCTAAAGAGTAATCGTGTCTTCATACGTACACGGATAGCTCGAATAAATCATAATCCTGTTATAGTGTCTTCATACATGAATAACTTGAGAATAAATCATAAGCTTGTTTATACGACTACTTGTATCTTCATATACAGTCGTCCCTCTATATAATCACCCCCTATATAATCACAAACTCTATACAATCACATAGTTATAAGTTACTATTTTTTTTATTATTAAATTACCTTCTATATAGTCACAATTAGCTTATAATCACTGTCACAATTTAATTTAAATTTATAGATTTTTTTAATAATAAAATTCCT